GCTCACCTGCCTCATGTCAAAAATGATCTGTGACAAATTATTTACTGAGTGACGGAGTTTAAATTTAATTCTGAAGCTTTCGCTTTCTTTTCTAAATCAACCACTCAGTCATTGTACAGCTGGTTTATAAAACCTCAGTAAGTTCTCTGCTTCAATTATAAAAAAATATACAGATTTTCAGGATGAAAGACAGACTGGGCTTCCTCTGGTTTCTATCATGCAGCTTCACCCAACATGCACTGCTGCAAGACACTCAGCTCTCAGCAGCTCGCTTGAAAATCCTAAAAGTGACAGTTCTGTGATCATTCATTCACACTCATGTTGTTAGTGTTATTTTAGTATCATTGACATACTGTATATTGCAGGTTTTGTTACTATTTTAAATTAGACTGTATTTTTTATTTTCTGTTTTCAATTTAATTTTAGTTCAAGTTTTAGTAATTTTGTTGTTTGCCATTTTAGTTTTTTAATATGTCTATGAAGTTTTAATAATTTTGTATTTATTAGTTTATTTAGTTATTTTAGTAAATTTGGGTCAGACTAAGTTAAAATTAGAAATGTTGAAAAATATAGCTGAAATAAAATAAGTTTTTAAAATTAATTTCCTTTGCCTTTATTTTATTTCAAGTAACAGATTATTAATTTTTTGTTTGTTTTGTTTTGTTTTGTTTTAGTTTAACTATATAACCCTGGTTCCAAAATTATTTTTTACTATAATTGCAATCAAATCTGTCAAGTTTCAGGAAGGACAAAAGAACAAAATAAAAGTATCAAAAAAAAAGTACTCCAGAAGTTGAAAATATCTCAATTTATTCAATGATAATCTGCTGAAATCATGAAATCAGAAATCGATGGCAAACTGCATTGTGTCAAATGTGACACAGAAGTTTAAATGTGGAATGGAAAATAATAGTTTTTAATAGTGTTATAATGTTTTTGTTGTTGTTGTTGTTTTGGTCCATATTGAGTTTGACAGTCATGCTCACATAAAATATACAAAAATATATGGAAAAATAACTGCATATGGGTTTGGAACAACATGACGTGAATGAATGATGACAGGATTTTAGGATCAACTGTTTTTTAACTAATAGTGTAACACAGCCTTTTCACAGTTTCGAAATTTAGCAGAATTGCTTCCTATAAATCAAAGTACAGTGACAAAGTAGTCAGATGGTGTTCATGCACAGGACGTGTGATGAGGCAGTGCAGACTCCTTTTGCTGCATTTTGCATTTTTTACCTTTGGCTCTTTTGCTGCAGATTTCTATGCTGCAGTGCATGAGACTAAAACTAATGGTAACCAATCGATCATTTTCAAGCTGTATGCACCGTTCTACAGCCTCAGGGAGGACAGGAGCACTGAACATGCGTGTGAGAGAGCAGAGCATGCTGGGACACGCTGACAGATGGACCTACCTCAGCTCTCCGGTGCTGGAGGAGAGGATGAGGAGGAGAGAAGAGCACAGACAGATAAATGGAGTTACATTGATTACAAACGGAAGAAAGAAGTGAAAGTGGAATGATGAAGGACAACATTAAGATTAGTATGATTTAAAGACTGAAAAATCTCCTTTTATCATGTTCAAAATCTGTGATCTGTCTTTTTTCGCTGACAGTGAAAGTGGAATGATGAAGGACAACATTAAGATTAGTATGATTTGAAGACTGAAAAATCTCCTTTTATCATGTTCAAAATCTGTGATCTGTCTTTTTTCGCTGACAAAAAATAAGACATTTAGCAGAAAGCCTCCACATTAAATTAACACTTCATATGAACCACTGGTGGTAGTTTTTGTTCACGGTTTGACGGTTTCAGCTGATTTATGGAAAAAGTAGCCAGGATGTTCTGCCAAATAACTCATTTTGGCTTCCACCGGAAAATAAAAATCAAGCGGTTTGTAACAGCATGAGGGTGAGTAAATAACACCACACTCTCAGAAAAAAAGGTACAAAAGTTGTCACTGGGGCGGTACCTTTTCAAAAGGCACACCTTTGTACCTAAAGATTCCATATTGGTACCTTAAAGGTACTTATTAGTACCTAAAGTGTACATATTAGCACCTAAAAGGTACAAAAGTGTACCTTTTGAAAAGGTACCACCCCAGTGACAGCTTTCGTACCTTTTTTTTTTCTGAGAGTGCAGACACTTAACAAAACTTAACATCTCATTTAGTTAAATACTGTTAAACCTTCAGGAACACTCGCTAGAAATTTTCTCAAATTTTTACTTAATTTTTTACAAATATCAACAAGGTATCAAATGTTCAGTATTGCCTTTTATCTATTATATTTATTATATTTTATGCTCTCACATGACATTGCAGTGCTGCACTGTAATAAAAGTTTATGTCTTTTTGAGCCTTTCTTAAAGCGATGTTACATCATTATAGTGCAATAAACCATGAAAGAACTCGATATTCGCACACTGTTCCGACTACGATTGTTATACTTAACTGAAATTAAAACTAAAACCAAAGCCATATAAAAACAATTTTTTTTTTGTTGCGTGAAATAGTTGATGTACTAAAATAACTAAAACTGAAATAAAAATGAAAAATTATATATATATACTTACGGGAAAAAAACGTTGACAAATGACAAAAACTCACAACAAAAGTACTAAAACTCGACTTAAAATTCAAATGAAAATGGAAAATACAAATTTTGAAACCTTAATAAAAAAAATATATATAAAAGTATCTCAATTATACTAAAACAACACTTTTTTAATCAGTTCCCTTTAATGGGAACTTCGAACTGCGTCCTCTAGGTTTCCCCATAGCGACCCCTAGAGGACGCAGTGTCTCGTTCCCTACTCAGGGAACCATGGTTACATAAGTAACCGGAGACGTTCCCTTTCATGGGAACTTCGAACTACGTCCTCTAGGGGTCGCTATGGGGAAACCTCGTAAGTATAAGTAACCTGAGACGTTTTCTATGTGTGCACACTCAAAGCTAGAGCACAGAAAACTTTAGCACACAGTGTAAAACTATTACTTTTTCACGTTTTATTGCATTTCAATTATTAAAAAATAAGACATTTAGCAGAAAGCCTCCACATTAAATTAACACTTCATATGAACCACTGGTGGTAGTTTTTGTTCACGGTTTGACGGTTTCAGCTGATTTATGGAAAAAGTAGCCAGGATGTTCTGCCAAATAACTCATTTTGGCTTCCACCGGAAAATAAAAATCAAGCGGTTTGTAACAGCATGAGGGTGAGTAAATAACACCACACTCTCAGAAAAAAAGGTACAAAAGTTGTCACTGGGGCGGTACCTTTTCAAAAGGCACACCTTTGTACCTAAAGATTCCATATTGGTACCTTAAAGGTACTTATTAGTACCTAAAGTGTACATATTAGCACCTAAAAGGTACAAAAGTGTACCTTTTGAAAAGGTACCACCCCAGTGACAGCTTTTGTACCTTTTTTTTTTCTGAGAGTGCAGACACTTAACAAAACTTAACATCTCATTTAGTTAAATACTGTTAAACCTTCAGGAACACTCGCTAGAAATTTTCTCAAATTTTTACTTAATTTTTTACAAATATCAACAAGGTATCAAATGTTCAGTATTGCCTTTTATCTATTATATTTATTATATTTTATGCATTTTAAACATCTTAATATAAAGCAGCTGTAAGCATTGGGCAAATGGGGAGTTTTATGTATCTGCTGTATGAGGCAGAAGACAAAGAAAGGACAATAGACAAGCTACCGAGGTTTTAAAGATAAGCCAGACTGGCATTGCTTCTGACCCTCAGCTCAATAAAATCAACTGAATAAAACCTCCAGCCTATTTTATTTCACAAAAACATCTATTCATCCAATTGAAAGTTAAATGTCAGTGAAGTGCAGCCACAAACAAGCAGGAAAGCAGAGCTCATATTGAGCCACTAGAGGTCTCTGTTGATGCATTAATTGTCATTAAATATGACACAAATCACGCTGTATATTACGATTGCACTGAGTTTCACAATCAATGACTCTTTGCTATAATATCACAGTCTGTGTTAGAGTCTCACATTGGCAAAACACCAATACTGCCCTAAGCAACGTATGGATAATAAGTCTTATTCGTACCATCTATCTCCATATATTCAACCATTAGCCCATGCTTTCCTCACACATACTCAGCTCAATCAGCACAAAGCAATAAAACCCTCTAATAAGTGCTAGATAACAGCTGATGACAGGGACAAACCACAGCGCAAACTGTTTTTGTGAGTGTTTGTCAAGGTCAAACTCAAACATTTAGTCAGTAAATAGAGATGTGTCAGTGTAGATAACAGCCAGATTATTATAAAATAAGGGCTTATATTTGATAGTACAAAGGGTGAAAACCTACTCAGTGTTTGTAGTAAATACAAATTATTTGAACATTTGCTGCCAAGTAAAATTATAGGTTTATGTAGGTGTGCCCTGGATGCACATCGTAAAATCACTCAGAAAAAAAGGGAGACATGATAAACTAGTAGAAATTTGACAATGAGTATTATCTCTCTATCGTGGTTACGCTCACATGACATTGCAGTGCTGCACTGTAATAAAAGTTTATGTCTTTTTGAGCCTTTCTTAAAGCGATGTTACATCATTATAGTGCAATAAACCATGAAAGAACTCGATATTCGCACAATGTTCCGACTACGATTGTTATACTTAACTGAAATTAAAACTAAAACCAAAGCCATATAAAAACAATTTTTTTTGTTGCGTGAAATAGTTGATGTACTAAAATAACTAAAACTGAAATAAAAATGAAAAATTATATAGATATACTTACGGGAAAAAAACGTTGACAAATGACAAAAACTCACAACAAAAGTACTAAAACTCGACTTAAAATTCAAATGAAAATGGAAAATACAAATTTTGAAACCTTAATAAAAAAAATATATATAAAAGTATCTCAATTATACTAAAACAACACTTTTTTAATCAGTTCCCTTTAATGGGAACTTCGAACTGCGTCCTCTAGGTTTCCCCATAGCGACCCCTAGAGGACGCAGTGTCTCGTTCCCTACTCAGGGAACCATGGTTACATAAGTAACCGGAGACGTTCCCTTTCATGGGAACTTCGAACTACGTCCTCTAGGGGTCGCTATGGGGAAACCTCGTAAGTATAAGTAACCTGAGACGTTTTCTATGTGTGCACACTCAAAGCTAGAGCACAGAAAACTTTAGCACACAGTGTAAAACTATTACTTTTTCACGTTTTATTGCATTTCAATTATTTCTATTTATAACTGACTTGTCTTAAATAAGTGTGGGTTTTTACTGTACATTAGTTAGGCTATTATTAGTTTTTGTAACAGACATTATTTCCATTAAAACTACATTGAGATGTCATTTTATTTCACAATAACAATATATAAGCTGTTGGTCATATCGCTCATTGTAGGTTCAAACTCTACAAGGGTTGATCCATGGACTGAATCATAGGGCTGAACATATGATACTTGTGCTGCGAAAGTGTATTGTAAGTTGCATTGGATTTGTTTGTTCAAATGATAATATCACTGTAATTAAATAACAGTAAAATCACAATTTGAACATTAATGGATGAGGACACAGAAGGGAAGAGCAGAATCAAGAATCACTGGTCATTTTACCTTGAAGAATTGCAGTGAATAATTAACATAAATGTACCTTTATTAAGTGTTTGTTCACCCATTTTGTGAAAGTCTTCTTCTGCACTCTGTCCCGTTCATCTGCAAAAAAAAAGATAAAGATAAAGAAAATTCAACACACTTCAGCAATGTTCAGAGTAAATGTCTGGATATGAAGGAATTTAAGTGCGTCATTTTATTCATGTTAAAATGCCGTTAATTATGTTAAAGTATGTTAAAATGCTAAACCCTATAGATAAGCAATTCACAGGTTCATTTCACTGAAAAGCGCAATACCGTCTCTGTGATGCTTTTGTTGATTTGAATGTTACGCTCAGCCCAAAACAACACTGATGCAACCACTCTAGTGAGTGTGTTTCAAACCTGACTGTTTAATAAAGAAACCACCGAACTGCAAGTGAAGAGAGCAACAAATTAAAACTCAATGAGAATGTTTTTTTTTTCATCAGTTCTTTTTGTGTGGGAATGCCTCACATCTCCTACCAAACTATTAAAACCCAGCACCCCTAAGGCAAACCCATGTGAGAAAGCTGGAGAGTAATGACTGCAGGAGATGTCTATGACAGCTCCATTGTCAAGTAAAGACGGAGCGCAGGTTTGGAGGGAAGAAAACGCAATGCATTGTGAGGCCTCAGGCTGGGAAAATTCACCATGAAGGCAAAATAGCTTTAATCCTGAGTGTGCATCACGCGTGACTAACCGAACACCACAGACACACCCGCAACCTGCAGAATCCTGTTCCTTCGGCAGCGAGAAACACAAGAGAACACCATCCATACTGCTGCCTCATACTCATTACCAACACTTGCATCGGTCACCATTACTAGAGAACTGCAAAACATTGCAGCTCCGTGTTGTTCGGAGAAAGGCTGTAATTTGAAGTGGCATGCTCACATTTATGGTTAAAGTTAGTGAGTTTGCTAGTAAAGTTGATCACTTTTTCTATTAGGTGGCCTTAACTACAGTACTATGTACTTAACCATTTGAAACATACATGGTGGTGCATTGTAATTACATTTAAAGTACTTGTACTTAATTAACACATGTAATTACACAGTGTTAACTTTATCCCTAACTGTAAATCAACCCTTATCACAAAACCTAACCACTTTAACCCTAACCTTACTCCTAAACCTAAACATACTGCAAACTCATCAGCAGAAAATGTGGGAATTTTTCAGAACATTTACTTACACAGTAAATCCATAATCTTGTGGGTATTTATTGTTAGTAAATAGTAGTTATTAGCCACCTAATATACTGTAAACTGTGACTGCAAAGATCAAAGTACAAGGTGAAAAAAATACACATTTGTGAAAAAAAAAAACTATTTGTGTAGAAAAATACACAAAACTGCATGCAAAAGCATGAAAAATAAGAGTCTATGAAAGAGATTGTGATATACCTCTTTCTGGGAGCAAGTACCAAAACTGCTGTAAACTCCAATCATATCTCAGCTAGAGTTTGTCTAATCACAAGTAGGATTGGGAAGATGGTTGAACCTGAAGAGACCAAACTTGAACTGAAGGCATCAGGTGCATAGGACATCCCAACACCATCCCTGATTTGAAGGATGCTGATGACTGATCATGCTTTGACCGTGCCATTTGGCAGCAAGGACTGAAAGATGTTTAAAGATACAATAGAAATCAAGCATAAAGCAAAACCTGAATCAATGCATGAGACAAAACATAGAACAAATGCCAAACCGGAGTGGCTTACATCATCATCCAGTCAAATCCCACACCCCAATCCAATTAATTTATGCTGGAATCAAATGTTCTCCATTCAAAACTTGGAGCAATTTTGTCAAGTACAACAGGATACTTCAATGCATAATATGACAGACAATTGAAATATGTTTGCTGAGCGACGGCTAGAGTCCTTTAAACGCCCACAGATTGTTAAATGTTGAGGGAACAGCTGATTCAGACACACACAGATGCGCCCGCAGGACTTCTGCTTCTGTTGGGAGGAGTATGATGAGCATATTATGAAACATCATTACCATGGTGACTATCAAGGGTGGAGGCAGTAAACCTTGACCTCTGTCATTAATGTGAGACTTCCCTTTAGTGTTTGAAGAGTCTTACTGCGTGCGGGTGATGATGTGGATGATTACGAGCTCCAGTACGGGGGTCGTCGACAGATCTTTGTCCTTTGACCACCGTTCACTGCTTTCTATCCTCTCACACGTATAAAGTTACAGCGCTAATGTTTAAACCAACGCCCTTGTGATTCAGCGCACAACTCCTGCCCTCTGGGGTGTGTGAGGCATGCAAGAAAATTCATCTTTACTTATAAAATTCAATTGTATCCACTGATATTTAATGCAGTGATATGTATACAGATATAGTGTCAAATGCACTTTCTCTGTTTGCTCACCACTGTTTGCTGATGAGCCAATCAGGTGCAGGACTGTGATGACAGGACAACAGGGAATGTCGCCTCAGTCCCACTTAACACATCTTCACACTGGTAAATATAAGTCATCTATTTAAATATTGAGGAAATGGCCTTGTGAGACAGCTTCTGTATGAGACTTTTTATAGTGCAAATGAAATGCACCTGTGCAGAGCAATGACAGTTAGCAAACACTATAAGGCTAGTGATAAACCTCAGGTTGTTTATTACAGATCTCATGTAAAATATCTTATAATAATGT